CCTTCCTTCCTTCCTTCCTTCCTTCCTTCCTTCCTTCCTTCCTTCCTTCCTTCCTCTCTCTCTCTCTCTCTCTCTTTTCTTTCCTTCTTTCTCTCTTTGTCTTTCTCTCTCTTTCTCTCTCTTTCTTTCTCTCTCTCTTTCTTTCTCTCTTTTCATGCTGTCCTCCACCTTACCTTAATTTTCAGGGAAATCTGCAGGATCTTAGAAATCACGTATTGCTGGTTGCCACCACAGGCTTTGATTTTGTCCAGCCCCGACCTGGAAACACAGGACAAAGTTGATTGTTTCCTATGGGAAGTAAAACAAAGGATTTAGGGAAGCAAGGGGTGGAACAGGGAAAGATCTAGCTTTAGCATTTTTTATTATTGTTATTATTATTGAAGCAATACCAAATGGAATTTGTATACATATTTTTTTCCAAAACAGCATTTTAATATGCACTAGTGGTGTGACATTCACATATCTCGATAAGGGATGGGGCTTGTCCCCTGGCACTGCAATCCCTTTTTCCAGTCGAGGGACTGGGGGCTGTTGATAAACTGAGCCCAGGGACCTGGCTGGAAGATGACCTGCTTTTAAAATGAAAAACAGATGAAAAAATCTGTAGGAACTTTGTGCTTGTACATAGGTTTCAGTTAAAGCAAAAAGCCCTCTGTACATGGGGGGAGTTGAGGTGTCCTCTTGTGTCGTTTGGACACGAGGGCTCGGCTGCTTTTGCTCCTCAGCAGGGCAGGAGCAGCCGCTGAGGGCCTTCGTGCAGTCCTAAAAGGCTAAAACTCCCCTTTTAGCCCATTTCCTCATCATGAGAAAATGTTTCCTCATTCTGGTTTACAGTTCAGCCTCCACATCCAGCTAAGCTCTCTGCCTTCCTTGTGCAGGGGAACAGTCTTACAGGGTCCTGGGGGCAAAATCAACCTTCCCCCATCTTCCCTCCTCTCTTTCCCCATAGTTTTCTAACCTGACTGATGGCCCAAGAGCAGGAAAAAATGCTCCAAGTTGGAAAACAGCTTCTGGTTATCCTTCCTTTTGGTGACAAGAGAAGGGAAAATTTTGATCTGGGGATGGTCAGAAACCTGTTCAAAAAGTTCCTGTCAGGAAGCAAGTGGACATCTTCAGAGCAAAGGGATCTCTTTTTGTTGTTTTTTTTCAGCTCAGTGACTTCTCAGGCCTGGCAGATTGGCTGCTCTGGGGTGTCCCTCAATTGTCCTCTCCTCTTCACCCCCARTGGGACAGCAACAGGGTATCTATCTCATGTTCTGCTTGTCTCAGCATAGCGTGGTGGAAAGTCCAAAACTGCAGCAGTCTTCATGAGATGCAAAAAACACTGTTTTATACCTAGCTTGAACATAAACCCCTTTCTGTAGTTACTGACTGGTAGATTGAGACCAAACATGACTTGCAAAAACCCAGAAACCAAGAAACCAAACCCACCACTTTTCTCTCCTTCCATCCGTGTACTTGTTGTCCTGTGTTAAATGGTGCCTTAGTCTTCGGACCAGATTACTTGATTGCTGCTATGAATTTTCTTGTTGTCCACAGAGCTGTGGGCCCCCGAAGAGGCCAGGGCCTGGCGATGGGCTCATGTCATGTCTGGGTCGTATGGGACGGGCGACCACAGTGTGTTATGAATGCAGGACGCACTTGGGGAAATRAGCTGCCCCACCGCGTTCCATGAAGGAATTGCAAAGCTTTCCAGACATATGATCCACCTGAAATGTGTTTTAGATCAGCTCRCTGCTTTGGTGTGAGTTTTTGAAGATGGAGATGTGGAAAGTACTCCTGTGCTTTATATCCGGTGTCTTCTAAAACAGCCTTTCTATGCAAGAAAAGAATTTACAYCTCTTACGAATATAYATATATATATATTTTGCTACTTGTAACTCATTTTATGCCTCCAGTTGCAACCCTACTTATTAAAGAATTAATCCTTCCACCCACCAGAACCGTGTGCTCCATCTCCACTCCCAGCAGTCACTAATTGTGTGACCCATGGGCCCGCTCCCATGCCATGGGAGGGCAAGGGGAGCGAGAGCCGGGCACGGGAGGGCAAGGGGAGGACCTTGTRCGGCCCCTTCTCCTCATTGGGAACTGGGCAAAGGGATCCACACTTTGTGGATGGACCAGCCTTGCGATTGAAGGTGGTATCTGAAAGGAGAGATGACATTGTGCGGTGGACAGGTATCCCCTGTTTCTCTGCTGGAAATATCCATGCTAGACTTGCATGGGAGACTGCAGGGTGGATGTGGACAGCCTGAGAGGGAAGTAAGCAGTGAATAGCCTCCATCAAACTGCCTATGTTGAACAAACCCTTGGTGCGAGTGAGGCAGGACCTCCTGAATCATTTCGTTGGATGCTAAGTTGGTGCTTTGCAGACTTGTGGTCAACTGAGAGGGACAGGAACTGCAGAAATCCAAGTTGTTTGGGGCTAGGCTGGCAGTAACATCCCTAAATAACTTACGGTATAAGGGGAGAAAGTCGCCTCTTGCTCCAGGCCACCCCTTGGCTTGTGCAACCCGGGAACAGGAGCACAGTACTGTGCTTTTGGTGATTTTTTTAATTCTCCATAAAATTCCATGATGTTACTTACAAGTAACCGGTGTGAATCAAAGCATTAAAGGATTTTTTGTTTATATTAGAGCTTTCCCCRTCTCTCTGGAGGAATTTACTCTCCCCTATGTGCCTGATGTCTTGTGTCCCATGTAGCTCTTCCTGGAAGCACTCCAGAAATGCACGGTGGTTGGGATCATACGTGTCATCTCACAACCATCAAGGTGGGAGCGGGGAGATAGAAATGATATATATATATTTTAATTTTCCAGGAAAGATCTGGTAATGGTGTTAAAGATGTTACCTCTTCTAAACATCCCCCCAGTTCGTCCCCCAAAAAATAGGGTGAGAAGGAAGATGTATGAAAAATGGTGTTTGGGAAAACCATTCCAGGGTTGTTCTTTTCCTGTGTAAAGATAAATGAGGGCTCTACATGGCCACACCACAGCCTGGCCAGATCCTGGCGTGACCTCCCGTTCCCRGCAGGACCACGGCGCTGCCAGCCCTGAAATGCCACCTGGTGTCACCAGCCAAACGGGCACAAAGCTGGGACTGCCCTGCAAGAACAAACAGCCCTGGTGTGTGTCCTGTCCCTCTACCCGGCCCGGGGGAATGACGATACGAGGCAACGGGATCACACYGCTGATTTTAACAGTCTTTATTAAATCATCATTAACTGCAATCAAAGCAGCTCTGCCATTTAAGTCGCTTTAATTCCTTTTGCTTGATGGGATTTTTTTTTTTGCTTTTACTAACTATTATCCAGCAATCAAGGAAGCAAAACATGTCATTGGCATACAACTATGTTACGCATCTAGCAAGTCACCATCTACAGCCTGCTGAGACACCGATCCTACTCGGTGATGGTGATGACCTTCTCCACGGATATCCCCTTGACCTGGGTTGAGGCCAGCGTGGCTACTATTTTCTTCTCTCCTGCTCTCTTTGGAGTGCAGATTACTTTAGACTTAATGATCCTACCAGGCTCGATGTCCCTAAAGTGAAGAAAAGAAAAATAAGAGCCTCAGCATGAGCTTCTAATCATTTCACTTAATCATTCCAATGCTTTCTAATCATTTCACTTGGAGAAATAGACATCAAGCCTGTTTGGTATTGATGTTTCCACAGCCCTATAACCCAAGCACAACTCAGCTCTGCTGGCTCTGGCAGATGGTCCCAGTGCTCTCTGGGGACAGGGCTCCCACACTTGTCCCATGCTACTGAATTTTACTTATTTATTATTTATTACTGTCTTAACACTGAATTTTGATCTGAAATGAGCAGTCATGTTCATGTTGGCTGTGGAAAAAAGTGCTGGGAAAACCCTCACATTTTCTGAGCAC